TTAAATAAAAATCGATTTAAAATCGTTACAATTAAACGATTTTAACCGAGTTTGAAAATTTTAATCGATTTTAGTTTTGATTTTTGATCTTGGCGATTTTCGCAGTTTCAATTCCGATCCCTAAATTGCACTAAAGCAAGAATGGAAAGATTTGAACGGGACTATTATTGAGAAGCTTGCTGCTTCAATGATGCAAAGAATTAATGCAGTATTAAAAGTAAGGGGGCCAACAAAATACTAGTTTTTTTTCTGATCCTGATAACTAACTTACGAAGAATTATTGACGTCATCATTTTCAAGGTCTTAATGTAGGAAAAGTTCCAAAATGTATTTATTCAAAATTGAAAAAACGAGTAGAAGGAACAGCTATCACAATATTTAAAGAAATAATTGATTCTATTTGGAATGTTAAATTGAAAATTGCGTTTTTATTGGTTGGTATTGAAAAAATTAATATAAAAAGTATCTTTGATTAAAAATTTTCTTTTCTGTGTAACTGAGAAAATGTCAAGACTTTTTATAATAATCTTAATGTTGGTGGTAGAGGCACTTTTGTGAAAGATTTGATAATGGATTAATAAAAATATGTCGAGTATGAATAAATGATGAATGAAATGTTGGGAATTTGTGGCGGTACGCAAGGCTAAATATCTGGATAATTAATAGAAATGGTTTGTGCCAAAAATTCTTTAAAGACCGTCATATTAATTGAACGCTTTGCAGTGGAAAGGTACGAAACTCTAATAAATTTTTCTTGAGAATATTTTAAATCTGGACTTATTTCAATAGAAATATTATATTTAGCATGTAAAGTAAAATTTTAATTTTTTCGTACCTTTCTACTGCAAAGCGCCCATATTGTCTCGAAAAATGATTGATAGATCTAAAAATCTAAATAAAGACAAATTTTTACACGATCGATTATATTTCAATTCTTAAAGTTTTTTAATGTGGAAAAGAACAGACTAATTAAGTCATTAACAATCAATATTACAAAATTTAACTAACTTAATAGTATTATTAAAAGCTACCCGCATATCGAATATTGTATTTAAATTTTTTATTCTCGGCTCGTCATCTAATTGAAGAACATCGAATATAAATTCCAAGCAAAAGCAACAATATCCAAAAAAAAATATTTTTTATAATGATCCTGAAAAGAACGAATAATTAAATTATTATTGCATAATAATAATAATAATAAAAGGAAATGAAATTTTAATCATAAATAATTTAACAGTAATAAATTTATCATCAGTTAATCACACAATCAGATATACACTATTATAGAATACCATTTTTATTATTGGTACATTCTATTATCTCCGTTTAATAGCTGAATACAAGTCTTAACAAATATGCACTTTTAAAAGTGTTTTCAAAACACCATGGCATTTTTCCTACCTGTGTAGATACACAACAAACCAAATTGAAAAAGAATTACAATATACATTTTCGTATCTTTTATAAATTATATGGATTAAATTCCTCAGGATTCGTAAAATAAATATTTAAGATACTTATAAATTTGTGCGAGTAAATCGTATTGGAGTTAATGTATATTAGATTATTTAACGAATTTATGATTTGAAGGATGTCGATCAATTTTATTTATAACAAAAACGAGAAAGATATATTTAAAAATACAGGGGTTAATTCCTCAGCCGACGCTCTGTAATAGGCCTAAAAAGAAGAGAACTATCTAATTCTTTACTAGGTTTCTTCTATCAACATATCGAAACGAAACGTGTCTATATGTATATGTAACGAAATTTTCTTATAAAGAGGTGAGTTATTAATCCAACCTAGAGTAAATATTGTACATTAATATTAGACCTAAACTAACTACTGTAGATTCGACAGGATAGTATTGAGTTATTAAAGATTCAGGGATTAAAGATTCAGGTTTTATATCTCTTAAGGAATCGGGTAAATTTGGTAAACTATTTACTAGTGTATCGAAACACCGGAGTTTCATTAAATAGCTCGGTAAAGTTGGTAGACTAAATATTTTAGTGTTGTGACACCATAGTATTTTTAAGGAGTCGGGTAAAGTTGGTAGGTAAATTATTTCAGTATAAGAACAGTCAAGAGAAGTCAAGGAATTGGGTAAAGTCGGTAGGTCAGCTATTTGGGTTTTATTGCAATAGAGGATCTTTAAGGAGATTGGTAAAGTTGGTAGACTATTTATTTGAGTTTCAGAGCAATAGAGTTCTGTTAAAAGTCGGGTAAAGTTGGTAGGCTAGTTATTTGCGTATTGGAACATTGGAGTTTTGTTAAGGAATTTGGTAAAGTTGGTAGGCTGGTTATTCTAATACCGTAGCAATAGAGTAGTGTTAAGGAATCAGGTAAAGTTGGTAGGCTAATTATTTCAGTATTGGAACAGTCAAGGTGCGTTAAGGAGTTTGATAAAGTTTGTAGGCTAGTTATTGAAGTATTATCACAATAGAGATTAGTTAATTTTCGATATCTTTGTAATCCTCCTAACATGTTTAGGATGGAATACTTATTATGTTCCGTAATCCTTAAAATTTCAATAGTATCATCATAAATAATATCTAATACTTTATTATTTGATCCTTCTGGTTTTATCTGATCAAACTGATGGATAATTTCGGATTTATTATTATTCATTTGATCATTTATCTGATCAGATCGAATAATTTGAGATAACCCTCCAAATGAACAATTAATACTTGAAGAAACATCATTGTTGTCCAAATTATTTTGTTGAAGATTGGATTCATAATTATTCGTTTGATTATCTTCTGCTTTCATCTGATCAAAATGATGACAAATTTCGGATTTATTTGATAAATTATTATCCATTTGATAATTTATCTGATATGAATTATTAATACTAGAAGAAACATCAGCGTTGTCCAAAGAATTTTGTTGAAGTTTGGATTCATAATTATTCGTTTGATTATCTTCTGTTATTTTAATAATTGCATTTAATTTATCAAATATTTGATTCATTGATGGACGATTATCTGGCTCATTATCCCAACACTCTGAAATTAGATAAAAATTTAATAATCATTTATATATTTATAATTGAATTCAAAATCATATATTTACCGGTGTAAATCTTCACATAATCTTCCGGTGTGCCTGGAATGACATTTTCTCGAAGTCCTCCTAAAATTTCGATAGCTAACCTTATGTCGTATTCTTCATCTTCAACATAAAATGGAGGACGACCACTTGATATTTCCCATAAAAGAACGCCAACGCTGTAAACGTCACTTTTTTCGTTTAGCTTAAATTGTGGCGATGCATTGTCATCTCTTCGTCTATTAAAAATTTTTGGGTCCGTATAAGGAATAACACCAAAGACTTTTGATTGTTGTTTGGTTGCCGCTTCAATTCTTTTCGATAATCCAAAATCGGCAAGTTTAATAACACCTTGACGAATTAATACATTGCCCGAATGCTAATATAAATAAATTTAAATATTAGATATTAAAGGTTCTTAAAAAAAAAAAAAAAATGAAAGCTTACCAAATCACGATGAACAATTCCTTCCTCATGTAAACACGACACAGCGCTAGCCAACTGGATTGCAAATTTGAATTTATCATCCCAAGTAAACTTATCAAAATTATCCTTCAAATAGTTTTTTAGTGCACCGCCATCAGCATATTCCATTACTAAAAGATACTTTTTCAATTGATCATTTTGATTTTCTAAAAATGTATAAATGATTTAAATGATTTAGAAAAAAATTATATATTATAAAAAGATATTTAATAAACCATATTATGAAATTTTATACCTTGTTTTGAAGTTATTCCATATAAGCGTATAATATTATCGTGAAAATCAACTTCACGTTGAAGTTTGAGCTAAATTATATAAATTGATATTTAAATGATTTTATGCTAAATAAGAAGAATTATAATGATGCATTATATCATTACCTCATGAACAAATTCAATAATTGAAACATTGTTAAAGTTATGAAACGTTTTTAACGCAAAAGGTTGTTTTGAACTTTTCCAATTTGCACGATAAACTTTTCCAAAGCTGCCCATACCAATCTCTTGAACATTGCTAAAATGTTTGTATTCGTAGTATTTAATTAGTTTTCTTGAGATTGAGTCTTCAATCCACTCATTCAAATTATTTTCATTTTGCATTTTGATTGTATTAAATTTGATATTTTAGCGAGTATATAAAAATTTCGGAGAAAAGCAAGAAATGCACTTTGTAGATCATGCATGCGACATTTATCAAATTTCTAAGCCACCGGTCATTATTGTAATATTGTAAAATTGTTCGGTAATATGTAAATATTAAATTAGAAATGTGATAAAGCGATAAAGAATTTACAGTTGGATAATATTTACTGATTTGCGAATTCAAAAGTTTAAGTATATCAGAATTACTGTATTTGATGTTTATTACGTTAGTTTTCATTGTTGACGATCCGGTTAAAGGTTATTCCAATTAGCTTTGTGTTATTTACATCGGTTAACGTCATGAAGTGAGTTACTGATGTAAATAATACACTAAATAATATCCTATCCATAAAGTATAGCATATCAAAAATATAGGTCAAGCAAACTCAGCATGATCATATAGGGCTGTGGCGATAATATTTGTTGAATTGAGAGGAAGAAGCAATTGTTGCCTGGGATTTTAATTATGATATCCTGAAATGTGCAGTAGTTTGTAAAATAGGATTTTTCAAAAATTCTTAATGTCTGTTTTAAGTATTCAGTAGGTTTTGTTTTTCGGAGTTTAATTCATCTGTGGTCTGGATTAAAAAAAATTTGAAAGCACTTAATGGCGCAATTTACTTCGTTTGGTGTTTTTTTAATTCGTGGTAATTTTCGCAATAATCCGCTATTTATTTCTCTTCTTCCCACTTTCTAATGCATTCTTATTAACAGTATGATGGGAGGTTCTGCATATTGTTCAAAATAATCGGTTCCGACTCGGAACCGAACCGACCGAACCGGCTCTAGTAAAAAAAATTATTTAAGTTCAAACAAATTTTAATAAATTAAATTCAATAATAAAATTGTTTTTATTCATTATAATTATTTTATTATATTATTTTTTCACTATTTTAACAACTTAATTAATTGTTATTTCATCCAGCGAGAAAATTATTTCGATGATTGTCATTTTTTTTAAAATTTGCCGTTATCAAATGACTATTTTAATTATTGACGAACAAATATTGTTACAAAAATTTGGTACTACAAAATTACGCGTTACGAAATTACTGTGCCACATAAAATTAAGTCGCAAATTTAATCTCATTCTGTAATTTAATATATTTATTTTATTTACATCTTAAAACCTTCAATTAATTAATACTTCAATATAAAAGAACCGACTCCGAGTGCTCCCATTTGGAACTTTCCCACCTATATCTACCTCAATTTATAAATTTACATTATAATTTCATTTAAATTTTTCCACCATTTAACTATTTTAATTAGTATGCAAAATTACGGCAATTTTAGATTCTATTCTTTGCATTTGAGTCATAATTAGCAGAAGTTAAATTTTTTAAGCGAAATAATTAAATTATCGCAATAGTAAAATATTATAAATCATCCCCAAGTGATTAATTATAGCTTCATTTAACGATTTAATATAGTTTATTTAATTCTCTTTTTTTCACTCTCCTCTATTTTCTTGAAATTTCTTTCTTAAAAAATATAAAATTTTATATTGTTACTATCCATTTTTACTATGCCAAAATGGCAAATTAATAAATAAAGCCTGTAAGGATTTCATGATTTACTAGAACTTAACAATTAACTAAATGAAACATAATAATACTACAATCTTTATGAAGAATGAGAAGTTATTAGTATTGTGTGTTCAACTTTTTTATTTCATTTAAATTAAATAAAAAATGGAGAATTAGAAATTGATCATTATTTTAATTACATATATTTCAAAATTGATAGATATACCAAAAAAGTTCTAAACAAAAACAAATATAGTAAGTTTTAAGAATGCATTATAATGTCATAAATTAAAAAACATATAGATTGCTTTATTATTAAATTATTAAATAAAAAAGAAGTCATTAATTATATGATAATTATATTTTTTTTTAACATATTTTGACTACTATATCTTCAATTGCTTGCTAAGAAATAATTAATTATAATAAATAGTTAATTTCTATTATAATTTGTAATACTATAAAAATTGATAAAATATATAATGATATATAGATCTCTATAAATTGAATTATAGGATTATTAAATACTTAGAAAGTAAGAAAACTATTAAAATTAATTCATAAAATATAATAAAATAAGTTTAATGCATTTTGATTCTAAATATTTTATATAAATATTATATCATCAACCATAAAAATATTTTATTTTTTTTTTTAAAAATATTATAAATTAAAAATTTTTGATGATTTTAATATTTTATTTTCTTTATTTTTTCAATTAAATATTAAATATTTTATTTAAAAATTTTATTAATTAAAAATTAATAGTTACAGTGAACTCTTGATATAACGAATTCTGGGATCTGGATATTAACTTCGTTATAAGCTTATAACGAATTTTTTAAAGAATTTAATTGGCTAGTTCACTATAGTAAAGGTAATTTTAATATGTTTGATTTAAAAATTCGCTATATCAAGGGTTCGCTATATCAAGGTTTGACTGTATTTTACTAATCAAAACAATCCAATTCAGCTAATAATCAAATATATAAATATATCAAAATTTGGCTAAATTGTGACAGATTTATAGCTAAATTGTAATAACTTTGGTTTAATTCTAACTAATACAATTTGATATTATTCAGAATAATTTGAATATAATAATTTAACCTAATTCAATTATAATTTAATCCTAAGAATCAAGTCTAAAATAAACCTAAATTCAGTCATAATTTATATATTATTTGGCTAAATCAACCTAAATTCAACTATAATTCTAATATAATACATATATAATTCAACCTAAATTAGCTTAAAAACAGCTATTAATTACCTAAAAATTATCTAAAGCAGATCATAACTAATAATAACAAGTTTAAATTTATTTAAATTTATTTAATTTATATTTTTATTATTTTTATATAATAGTTAAATTTAAATACCTTAAAAAACACTTTATGATATATATTTTATTTAAGAAAAAGTATAAAAAATAAAATAAAATAAAAAATAAGTCAAAAATTTCACTTAAATTTCTTTTAATTGACTTATTATAATATATTTCTAAAAAAAAAAATAAAGAAAAAAAGTAAGGAATATGATAAATTTTTACATAAAAAGTAGCTTTTGAATGACTTACTTTATTTATAAAATGAGAATTTTTCTAAAAAAATAAGAAAAAGAAAGAAAATTCCATTTAAAAAAGTAATTTCTTAATTACTTATTTTATTTTAAATAAGAAATTTTCTAAAAAAAATAAAGAAATCATATCTAAAAATATTTTCAGTAATAGCTATTTTGGTTTAATTAAAATTCTTTATCATAAATGTAAAATAATACCTTAGATGATATAGTTCTATTATTAATAATTCTACTATAATTTATCTTAATGTTTCTTAGCACTATTTAAATGAAGAAGATTTTCAATATTATAAGTTTAAAGATTATTTTCAGATTTCCAAAAAATTATTCAACATTTAAAAATATTATTACTTTCTTTTTACTTCAAAACATTTTAATATTATTTTTATAAAAGTAAACTTGAAGATAATTATAAAAAAGCTAATATTTATAATATTCTTTAATTCTAGTATTTTATTTTCTACATTAAGAATTACATAACTTTTTTTAAGGAGGTAAGAGAAATTATATAAAGAAATTACATCATATATTGATTTGCCTTTTATGATATTACTTTTCTAAACCAAGTGAGTCAAAAGAAAATTAAATTAGAAGTTTTATAGATAGGTCAAAAATTTTATATTTTATAGAGCAAAATAACTTATTTCTTATTTATCACTTTGTTATTATTAAAATCTCAAAAAAAATTTTTCAAAATGAAATAATTTATAGAAATTTTGTATAAATTTTATTAATAATATATAATATAAAATTTTTATGATTTAAATAAAAATAAATATATTAAAGGAAAGGCAATGTTCTCAATTAACTACTTGTGAAATTTCTTTTAGATTATAATGGCCATTTTTGAATAAGTATAATTTTTTTACATAATCGGTAAAATTGATCATATGATTTAAATGTTATTTTTTCAAAATTTTCATTAAAGTTATCTTTTGCTATAATAGTTTCTATAACACTTGAACAATACTGATTGAAAAATCATTTTAAAGAAAATAATACAAATCATCTTAAAGAGAATAGGATAAATCATTTTAAATAAAATGATAAAATTTTTATTTTAAAAGAATAATACATTATTATTCAATAAAAATTATTTAAAAAAATATCTCAATAGATAATACATTATTGTATAATAAGAACAATTTAAAAAATTATTTCAAAAGAATGAAAAATCATAATTCTTATTAAATAATCAAAAAATCATTCTTTTAAGATAAATTTAATAAGAATAATTTAAAAAAGTTTTCCTTTGAAATAATAAATCAATATTATTATTTGCATATATATATATTAATTTTTTTGTATGATTATATTATACTATATAAAATATGCATAAATTATTATTAAAAATAAATAAATTATATACAAAAAAGATAATTTTACATAAGAAATTATTATGCTTTTTTTTTAATTATAAATTTATCACTACTTACACATAATTTTTAACTTATATTTATATACTATCCTAAAGGAATATAGATTATTATTCTTATTAAACAATTTAAAAAATCATTCTTTTGAAATGAAACAGCATTATTTAATAAGAACAATTTAAAAAATCATCTCTTTAATATATATATTATTATTCTTATTAAATAATAAAATTGTTTCTTTAAAATGATAATTGTATAATTATAATAATAAAAAATTATTTCTTTGGAATAATAATTTTCTATAAAAATGATAAAAATATTCAAATTGAATAATTTTAATCAAATTATAAACAGTTATTCAATTAAAATAATCAAATCATCATTCATAAAGAATAATATAAATCATACAATAGAAATAATAAAAATATTTCAATTGAATAATTTAATATTATTCCAATCAGATAATATAAGGTTATTTAATTAAATTAATTAATCATCATTCAAAAAAATAATATAAATTGTTCAATAAGAATAATAAAAAAAATATTCTAATTTGATAATATAAAACTATTTAAATAGCTATATCAAAGTTAATAAATAATGACTAAATTTCAGATTAATTAAAATTTTCAATTCAATTTACAATATAAAACTGATAAATTTTAAATTAATCCAAACATTTTTCTTTTTTTATATTTTTTAAAAATAAGATAAGTTATTCAAATGTGATTTTTTTGGTAAAAATTTACAATTTTTCATTATTTTTTTTTAAAAAAATTATCATTTAAAAATTAGATATATAAATTAAAAGCAAATTTTTGGATGAATTTTCATTTTTTTTTATTTTCAAAAAATTCTTATTTTTTTGTTTTGTCTTACATACAATAATTATTTATTTTTTTCGCTATTATACTTCTAAACTATATGCAGAACTAAACTTAATGTGCTATTTACACTTTTTTCTTGTTTATTATCATCAAACATTATCAATTATATAATTAGTCTATTATGTATGTAAAAAGTTGTTAGTAAAGATCTGAATAGTTCAGATCGGGTCGGGTAATTAACTTGATCTGACCTAATAAGTTTAGATCAGGTCAGATATAAAATTGACCTAAATTAAATATACATTTGACCTGATCTGACCTGATCTGACCTGTCTAAAAAAGAAATTAAATAATTATTAATTTTATTTAATATTTTTTTAAAAAAATATAAAAAAATATTTATACATTTTTACATTTGATTATTTTTCAAAAACAAAAGATTTTAATGTAATTATTTTAACTGCAAAATCTAAAATTACAAGTTGTGATAAATCTGCAAATCAGGTGACTATTAATACAATTATGAAAAATATTAACGTTAATAGTTTTACAAATATTAATCCAATTATGATAAAATTTTATATTTACATATTTTTGAATCTGCTGAATAACTTTACTTATTGAACTAAAGTTTATTTCCTTTGACCAAAATACTTAAATTGCTCTTTGATGTCACTGTAAGGATAAAAAATAAAAATAAAAAATTTGTGAAATAATATAATTATGTAAAACATGTATAACTTTACAACCATTAATCCAATTATAATAAAAATTTATATATATATATTTTTGGACTCGCTGAATAATATTACTTATACAATTAAAGTTAATATTATTTGACCAAAATACTTAAATTACTCTTTGAATCACTAAACAAATAAAAAAAATAAAAATATTTTGTAAGATAATACAATCACGAAAATCATTCATAACTTTACAATTATTAATACAATCATAATAAAAAATTTTATATGTACATAATTTCGAACCCGCTTAGCAACTTTACTTATATAACAAAAGTCAATTTCTTTTGATTAAAATACTCAAATATCTCTTTAAAGTAATTGAACAGATAAAAAAAATTAAAATTAATTTGTTGAATAATATTATTGTAAAAAATGTTTATAATTTAAAATTTAATTTTTTGATTATAATAAATTACAAAGTAATTATACAAACAACTTTATTAGAATATAAAAAGAAAGTATATTAAATAAAATTAAAGATGTTTTAAAAAAAAAAAAGATAAAAAAAATTTTT